GACATTTTTCATTCATAACATTGAATAATTAATTTATAGAACTATTTAATTTTATTTTAAGATTTTTAAATTTTAAAAAACTAAAATTAAAAATTAAAAACTACAGTTATATTAAATTAGAACCTTAGTTAATAAAAAAAAAATCTTTGAGTCTTAGTGAAATTCACACCCATAGTTATCGAATCGGCAAGCCCTCAAGTAGTAAGTCCCAATTTCTTAGCAAGGGGATTGAGATTTGAGAGCTTAATCACTAGATTTGAGTCTCAACCACCTTTCACTAGTTGACCACCATGTTTTTTACCTATAAGCCAGTGTTTTCAACTTATTGTATCTTTGGATTTAGGGGAATGGAAGGGAGGAGAAAAAAATTATATTCTTTCATTCCCCTCCTCTTCGTTTTTATTATTTAGATAAGTAAATAAATTAAAAGAAAAAAAAAAAAAAGTAAAATTTTCCCTCTCCTCTCCTTCAATTTTTTTATAACCAAATAAAAAAAAATTATTTCCCTTTTTCTCTTTTCTTCTCAACTCAAATATATTATTAAAAATAAAAGCAGCATTTTAGCATAAAGAGGGATTTTAATGTGCACCTGTTATTATCATAATGAATCCTGATTTTGTTGGATAGACCGAAATAATCTACAATTAACAAAAGGCTGCATCTTTAAATCCCGTATCAATCAAAGAGACAAGATGTAGGTTACGAGTTTATCCATTAAATTTATTTAATAAACACTATCTCTTAACCTATATATAGGTTGGCATCATATGGAATTAAAATTGAAAATTTGAAATTGTAGAATGAAAAGAAATGAAAAATAGAAAGCATACTTTTCATCTATTCTCTTTTTATAGTCTTACTTTATCTTCTTTATATAATTACATTATGAAACTAATAAAGATTATTTAATGTTTTAATTAAATTCTATTTATGAGCCTAATCAAGTTTATACATTAAATTTATATAATAATCATTGTCTCTTATTCTATATATAGGTTGAGATTATATGAAACTCCAATTGAGAATTTGAAATTGAAAAATGAAAAGAAATTAAAAATTAGAAAGCATACTTTTCATCTATTCTCTCTTTATTGTCTTATTTTATCTTTTTTATGTAGTTATTTTCTTCCAACTCAGTGATCACTTATTTTACAACAACTTTAACTTTTATGTTTGATCAATCAATGAAGCCCTCAAATTGATTTTAACAAATAAAACCCCTGAACTTTTCAATTTAGCTCAATGCTCTTATGTATAAAGAACAACTAATATCTGTGAACATAAAATGATAGTCCTGTCTTAAATCACATCCTAGCTAGCAAATAGAGGTTCCAGTAAACAACTAAAACTAACAACAATTTGATCCCAACAAATTTAACCATACAAGAGTACTGCACACTCCCGTAGGAAGTTCTTGTGCTACTTTTTCTCAGAGAGAAGTACAATAGACAAGTGAAGTTCTCACAAAAAAAAGATGATATTATAGGAAGTCAGGACCTAGATTGGTTCAAGAAATATGAACCTTGCAATATACTTTCCTACTACTTACCTACATATTGCATCTAGCGGATTTGATTAAGCCATTGATATAAGCATATCTTTAAGCCTCATAAAGCATCCCAACCTCAATATACTGTGGTGGCGGCACCCCTAGAGTAGGCAAGGCTGATCTGGAATTACCATGAAGAACTTCATAAAAGACAAGCATGAATCTGTCAAACCTGCTA